TTTCTGTTTTCCCTATATGTATCACATGTACATCTCAGTTTGACACTCTATTTAGGGTTAGTGTATATATCATATCTCTATATAGCACTCCACTTATTTGATTAGTATAGCCTGGATATTATAACCAGACTCCACTAAGCTCACTTTGGTTCAAATACTGTATGAACCCAATTATTTCCAGGCAGAAAAAACACATTTCTAAAAAGTACCAAAAGTACCCCAAAACACATAATATCCCTACAAATGTTACATCCCCTGATAGCCCTGATCTGGGTGACCAACATATCCAAAAATCACCCACATCAGTTTAGGGGTACAGAAATTCTATGGAAGTCATTTATTTGACCGACTGCATGCATGGTCCCATGCCCAAAACAGTTCCAGAGCATTAGGGCTTACTGTCGTTCTAGTTTGGTAATTTGAAAATTAACAAACTACTGAACAGAGTCAATAGTCTTACCTTTGAGCTTGTTCCCTTCATCCAGACGAATGAACGACAGAACAGTGCCTTTCTAAGTTGAATAGAATCAAATGCAGACGATGATGGAAGTCCAGCGGTGTTTGGGAGTTTCTGTATCTGATTTTAGTTTCATGCCCAAACACTGCTGCCTGCATTCATGCGAACAAGATGGCCGCCACCTAGTGGTTGTCCATAGGAATTGCGGCCACCCAGGTGAACAATTAGAACACTGCGGTCAGAAATGTTCCAAGTTGTTAATAGATTTTAACAAGCTCCAGTGTGGTCTCTGGTTCATACGGTTGTTCGGTAAAAAAAACATATAGTCCCAATTGCACTGTTTGAAATATTTTAGCCAGGTCTATTGTAGGGGCCATAGTCACAGGGTAGGAGGCTGGCAAACAGACTCCTCCAAAAGCCAGTCTCAAGGTTCCTTTTGCAACAGGCTATTTGGGGATATATTATTTGTGGGGTTATTTTTAGTGATGTCGCAAACCCGAAATTTTCGGTTCGCGAACGGCGAACGCGAACTTCCGCAAATGTTCGCGAACCGGCGAACCGGGCGAACCGCCATAGACTTCAATGGGCAGGCGAATTTTAAAACACACAGGGACTCTTTCTGGCCACAATAGTGATGGAAAAGTTGTTTCAAGGGACTAACACCTGGACTGTGGCATGC